GGGGTGCGGTAGAGCCCATGGCTTGGGCAGCGCACACATGTGGGAAGGCACTATTAACTATGAACGATACATACAGGTTTTGGAGCAACATAAGCTATGCTGCCCATCAGACAACAGAGAAGGCCTTGCATATTTCAGAAAGATAATGTCAAACCACATTCTGCATGTATTACAGCAGCCTGGCTCTGTAGTAGTAGAGTAGTAGAGTGCCTGTAATGCAGACCTGTCCATGAATCAAAAACTACGACCAAGGAGACCTCGAACTGTTCAGCAGTTGAAATCCTGTATCAGGCAATAAAGGGACAACATTTCACTTTCAAAAGTCCAGGAAACTGGTCTCCTCAGGTCCCAAACGTTTGCAGAGTGTTGCTAAAAGAAGAGGTGATGCAGCACAGTGGTAAACATGCCCCCGTCCCAACGTTTTTGAAATGTGTTGTTGGCAACAAATTCAAATTGAGCATTTACTTGCCATAAGACAATAAAATGTCTCAGTTTCAACATTTGATGTGTTGTCATTGTTCAATTTTCAATTTGTTTTGGGTTTATACAATTTGTAAATCATTGCATTCTACTTTTATTTACATCTAACATAGTGTCCCAACTTTTCTGGAAACAGGGCTGTAATATTTCATTTACAAATGGCATAAACTGGCTACACAACAAATCTCGATAATAAATTTCAGACCCCTGCCCCTTTCTTACAATAAGAAACACTAACTGCACATGGCTTGGACTCAGTAAGAAACGTGGGTCACCTCATTCACAGCCTGCACAAAAACGCAAATTCCAAGTAGTGCTAAAATACTTCTGTTAGCTTTCAAAGCTAAACTCACGCCACGACTCGCTAGTGTGCCTTAACAGCTGGCGTCTTCACCTCTACTGCTCTACCTCACATATACTGTACCCTCTTCCTTGCTCCGCTCAGCAGCTAAGTCTCTCCATGATTTCTTTGTTTATATCTCAGCTGCTCAGCTGCATGATTTTTGAATTGGCAATTGGCTCTAAGGAGATCAGGTGCTTTTTTCCTCGCACACACACACTCACACAGCCAGTCCTAGCTGATGTGATGTCCCAGGTGAGCATCACCGTCGGCACCCCCCACCAGAGGCAAAGTGAAATTGGCCGGCAGCTCGGTGCCCCCTCTGAAGTTGGCGTTCTAGGCGGCTGCCTGTATCTCCCGCAGGATTGTCCGGCCCTGTGCGCACACACATGCTGACCCACACTAACAAGCCCAGACCTAGTTCTGTTCGAATACAGCCTACAAAATCCAGCAATCCAGCTCTTCTAGGAACATCTTCTGGAAGTCTTACGAGAAAGCTGAGGCCCAAACAAGCTAATCCAAGTCATCTCCTTTATTTACCTCTTACGGATGTACTGAGGTTGCAGGAGAAATTTTACAATGTAGTTTAAGTGCTGGGAAGAGGGACATCATAAATGGTACAAAGAGGCCGTTTAGGGACAGCCTATTGATAAACAGGACAGCAGATGTGCGACTAGCGAACCCTTTTGTCCGATTTTCATACATATACACCCATCCTCTCTTTACTCATTAGCCTCACTCTATTGTTATTATTAGGTACAATCAAGCTGACATCAATCAGCCCCTGGAGACCATACTCTCGGCACCATACTCTCTGCACCATACTCTCGGCACCATACTCTCGGCACCGCCCCAGAGTGTCGACTCATTTCAATTCTAAGCTACAGCCTTTTTCTTCAGATTAAGCTACACAAAAATAGAACAAACTCTCAGCCTTCATATAACTTTGCGGTCCTTAAAATAGTTTAATTCCACATACCAAAAAGCACTATTAATGTGGTCAATAGCAACGGAAATACAAATGCTAATCATTCTGTCGCTAAGTGTATTGAATGCAAGGGGCTGGTTGTTATACATGCTCAGATCGTTACACTGTCGTTAGCAGCTGGAGAAGGACGAACTCAGTAAATCTAAAGATGATCAACGTGTGAATTCACTACTCTTGACGTTTCCATGGGCTAGATCAGTGACCCTCAACCGGTCCTCGGGGATCCCCAGACAATCCACATTTTTGCTCCCTCCCAGAACAAAAATGTGGACTGTCTGGGAGGGAGTGAAAACATGGACCGTCTGGTGGTCCCTGGGTACCGGCTTGGGAAACACTGGGCTAGGTGACAAACTATAAGAAGTGTGAATCAGTGCCCTATACTGAAAATCCCCTTTAATGTCTTTCCTTCTGCTTCTCTTTGTCTGCCATTGTTGTCCATTTATTATCCACATACACAAATGGCCTCCATTGGATAATGTCGAGCGATCACACATGCAGCATTAATCTTAGCATTTTGTTTGCAGCAACACTGATTACATCAGAGAATTCATTACTCTTTACAGTTTTTATCAATGATACGTTACCAAAGGCAAGGCACATAATGTGGTATATAAAACATCGTGCAAATTTGGAGCTTAACTGTAGGCAACTAAAATAAAAACCTCAGAACATAAAAAAAAATATATATCCATATGTACAAACAGCGTCCTGTATTCCAGGGGTTTTGTGGGGGTATGGGGTAGCTTTAGAAGGGTTAAAATAAAATGCTATGCCATGCACCCATTTTCAGCATCACGCTGCTCATCTACAGCAAAGTTCACATCATTTTCTTGTTCAAAAGCACCATGCAGGATTATATCTCAATATGGTTATAATAACAGCACCGTTAAAATCTGTCACGTAAAAACCAATTTCCAATATGTTCATAGACACGGGGCTGCCAAGCTGCCCACGCCCGAAGCACGCTGCCCAGTTATCCTACCATACTCTGGGATTGACGTAAATGGTACGCAAATGCGCATTCACCTTTAAAAGCGATGCGTGCGGCAATCGATTAATGTAACAGCGCAAATACGTACGTATTTTATGCGCATTTGCACCGATATGACAAGAACTTATCGTGCATTTTAACCTGTATATGCTATTTCGTACTTCATGTGCGGTATATAGGTTAAAATGCACGGTAATTTCTTTTCATATCGGTGCAAATGCACATAAAATACGTACGTATTTGCGCTGTTACATTGATCGATTGCCGCACGCATCGCTTTTAAAGGTGAATGCGTACTTGCTTACCATTTACGTCAATCCCTCTGTGTATGTGCTCACAGACCCTAGTGTACCCCTTGACATATACAACACACTTGTGATACGCGTCAGTTTGATTATTGTGGGACTGGCTGCACACACCCCACAAGGTAGATGTATTTAAAGTTTACCATTCATACAAGGTGAAGCACACGGAACCGCATGCAGAACACTTGAAGCTGCTCTGGATGTACTCTCCTTAATGAGTTCCTATCCCGTCTCTTGCCTACTTGAGGCCGAAACCTCCCAAAGACCGATGTGAATGCACGCAGGAAAAGCTGACCGCAATTCAGAATGTTAGGCACTTTTCGTGGCTTTATGATTTGGGTTTAGTAAGGTCTTTAGCCCTGATGTTTTTCCCAGCATCAGCACAGTCCCATAGTCTCATTCTGTTAGTCTTTCATTTGAAGCACCAGCCAATTTGGGTTTAATGGGGAGACACAGAAGGCATCAACTGCTACTCTGTCCCTTTCTTGTTTCCTATTCAACGGTCCCACATCCAAGCCAAAAGTGGGATCAACGTTATACCTCAGAGCTTATTGGTTTTGCTGTCTACTGGCCAAGTTAATACATTTCACATTTGTTTATCTGTATGAGATTTATAAAAATTTGTCATATTATGATCATTGTTCTGGTTTAATCTAAAAAAAACATATCTTTTTAGGAAGTCTTCTGCCTCTACATGCTCTTTTACACAGGAAAGAAAGAATTTGTGAATTAAGGTAATAAACGCAAAACGAGACGAAGCTGGAAGGACAACTCATAACAACAGTTATAGATGCCAATTCTTATAAGCGTGCTACCAATTCACAGGCATCCAAGTACAATATCGAACAACTTCTGATTCCACACAAAAATGCAAAAAAAATGAAGAATTAGCTGTTTAAAGCAAAAACGAGTCTCGTATTAGTGCGATGCCTTGAATTTCAAACTCAATTTCAACTAAATCAACATACAAAAAGCATTTTTTTTGCAACCAATACTGCAGCAAAAGTGACTGAGCTGTTTTAGTGTGTGTCACCAGGTTAATCTCTCCTAATCGAATGGAAGCCGTCCTCAACAGTCAACGACACTTAATTAGGGGGCATATTCAAGAAGCTAGGCTCTTCCTCCTACATAAACTCTATATAAATAAACTGTTATTTGATCTTCTTTATGGGCTTCCACTTTCCGACTTTACTTCAAGGGGGCCTCTGTATTTGGTCACTCTGTACCAACATGTGCAGCTAAAGATGGAAACGTCAGCTAACTGTGGAAGCAGCTCTCCTGCGCTTTGAAGGACACTGAACCAGATTTTCACTCATTCCCAGAACCACGGCTCAGCCTTATGAATGTTCATGTGCATCTCCAACGGTCAGCTCCATTACCACAGAAGTGCATGGTCAGTGACCCTTTTGGCCGAGCTTAGAAGGCTCTCAGACATGCCTGACTGTCCTGTGTCTCTCCCCGTGCAGTGTTGCAATCGCTCTGGTTTCCTGCACTACCCCAGGGGCCGATGGCATCCAGTATTGACCCATTGGTGTAACATCAATCACACAGCCAGGTCTCAGTATGACAATGATCATAGTGCCCCCTGCTGTACGTCCACTGTTACTGTCCTCGCTAACACTGACAACATCAACAGCTAACAACAATGAAAAGAAATGAGTACCTTCATAACAAAGATGAAATATCTGGTAAAAAAAAATAATAAATTGTTAAATGATTGTCCAGAAGAATAAGCTAAAACAGATTTATGGAGGGGGGCCAAATAAAAATTAATTTGCCATTACATACGTATTTCCCCCCATTCTCAGCCCACAAACACAGATCGTTACCACCTCAAAGCTTTAGGAAAAATATAATCATTTAAACATTTCTTTCTCAAATTCCACTATCGCGTCGTTAAGAAAATAAAGGATATTTATTTTGCATATATGAGGAAGCAGCACCTGTAGCGGGGGGGGGAGGGGTGTCCAGGCTAGATGTTCAGGGAGGGGGGCAAGGTGAAGAATGGGGTAGTGTTTCTGCCCCTCCATCTCGGCCACCCGAGACAGTGCCTCCTCTTTTCTCTGTCCGTACCTTTCCTTCCTCTCTCTTCATTCCAAGGCGAGTTGAAAGTTTAAGCATTTTATCATTTTTTTATACTGATATATATATATAAACATATTTGCATACATATATTTATATATATACACCCATATATATATACACACTTTATGGTGTACTAGGGTTTTTCCCTCTGAAATCTCCTTTACATTTTTTCCTAATTCCACAAAAAAAGATTCACAAATGCGTGTGTGTGCGTGTCCATTGCCCCTAAGCAGAATCCTCGTGTTGTTCAATTCCCCAGATACCAGGACTGAAAAGGAAAGAAAAAGAGACATTTAGACACAGAATTAGGACATTTGTCCGTGCACCTGTTTATCTGTTTGTCAGAGTAATGTCACAAAAACACCAGAGAGGAATCGTCCAACAGTCAAGCTGTCAGAGTTACCAAGGAGGACATAGGATTTGAGGGACGGGGGTGGGGGAACACGACACTATTTACGATCCGAAAACTGACACCGGGAGCCAAGTGTCCCCCAGAACACTCAGAGGTTTGGGGTTTGGGCTTAGAGTTAAAGAACATTACACAACACAGATGGCAAGTAACGGAGCATGTGACACACTATGATCTTACCTTAGCGGCGATGACAGGGGCAATTCGAGGATTTTTTTAAGGTGGCGAGCATAGGAAGGGCCATAATTCATGCAAAGGGGGCAACCTTATCTTCAGCCAATGATATGTTTTGAATCAGTGAGTGACGGAGGAAGGGGCCCTCGGAGGACCAACCAGCTTTCAGGGCTCCGCCCCTGCCTACGTCTCTGAGTAATTGCAATCAATGAAACACACAATGGGGGTGCAGTTCTGCTACAGTTCTAAATAATGCAGAAGCTTTTTTTCTTATTTATTCAAGAACCCCCCCCCCCCCCCCCCCACACACCCCCACACCCACCATCCCCATATTTCAAACAGATGATTTTTAAGTGTCATTTGTAATCAGTGTTTCCCCTCTGAATTGGCCCCAAAATCCAGTCAGAGCTATTAAAAATAATTTGGGGTAAAGACCTATCAGAGCCAAAGCGAGACCCCAGAAGGACTAAACCCAGAGTCTTTCAAAATACCTTCTAATAAGGTTTTGGCTCTTGCCTGAAAACCACTTAATGCTTTTTAACTTTTGGAATTCCCTCCACACTATATGCCCTCCCCAGGATTTTCCATCAAGGTTTCAGTCTTTTTAACCCCCCTGCCGGTCAACCACCTCCAGCTAAAATACGATTCCACTGATGTAGGAGGAAGCCAACGATCCCTGTGAAAGGAGCGAGTGACAAGTCACTCAGTCAGCTCTTCCATGCTCCATCCCTCAGAGTCGGCATCCAAACACACATGAACGAGCTTGTATTACCATCTGTGTGCATAAACATGTACACAAACCGCGTCTCCGCCCGCCAGTTTGTTTAGAGGAATGGTGTATGTATATACCGGTGTATACATACATACGTAAATATATATACACACACGCAAACTTACAGATCTGAACCCCACACTGCTATCTGTACAAGACCCTGGTTGATGGATACTGAGAATTTAAACATTGGTAAAAGGTAAATTATGATTCGAGCAGCTGCGCTCCATTATAGACGAGCATGTCAGTTAAACCATACGCGAGCAAACGAAATAAACTGTGAAAAAGCCACAAGTTTGGCAGAGGGACGGGTGCGTCCGTCTGTTTCTTATATAAAATAGAAACCATATGAAAAGTATGAATGTTTATAAAAGGTTTATGTATCAAACTGGGACATCTGCTTCATTTCATAGCTTACGCTGCTGACTCGTCGAGGGGATGAATTCCTTTACCTTCTTAAGTATTGCAAAATTGGACTCAAATGCATATACACAACTAATTGCACATACCTAGGAAAAAACAATGTAGAAAAGAAATAAAATACATGGTCTGTTATCTTTTTAAAACTTATGATTCAGTAGATGTCTGGGCCATAACAATGCATGCTTTCTTTGGCTAGATCCTCCATTAGGACCCAGTGTCAGTTGGCCATTCACAGAATATGGGATATCAGCAGTTTAATTATTAACAAAAGCTTTGGTGCGTTACCTGTACCAGTAAAATAATACTGCACAGCATGGCAAGACAGGGGTGGTTCTGGTACCATGTAACCCGGCCTTCCAAACAGGAACCAGGAACTCAAAGCAGCTCCATGTAATAGTTCCACAGCAGCTGCACTCGATTTTTAAACTGAAACTTCTGTCCAAGTCTGTTTACTTTGGCAGGCAAGAGTAAATTCAGAGACTATTCTATATTTACAGGCAGTTATCTGGAGTGACTTCCAGTTCTAGCTGGAAATTCACACGAGCACCACCAGAAGAACACGCTACTCCATCAGCCGCAGTGAGAAACACGCCTATGGGTCGTCCTCATTCTGCTGTGTCGGCCTCAAAGTCAAACGCTTTCCTGCAGATCTGCGTTTCCCGTCACTGGTGGGAAGTTAAAACGCGATACATTCTCAGACGACTGCTTACTTCAGAGAGGGAAAGAACCACATCCCAGCAAGCAATGTTTTCGACGGGTAGCTAATGCCAGAAAGCCATACATACTGATTAAATGGAAATACTGATTTAAGTTGAGCTTCATTCATGGAACAAATCAGGAATCAAGTCCAAACTGTGCCCTCATGTAGCAGTCTTGCTTATTACTCATAAATGAGCGTTATAATAATAATAAATCTTTATTTGCCATTTGCACAAGGGCAGAGTAGAGATACATTGGAGTTCTTCTCTTTGCTCCCCCCCTCTGGCTCGCCGTCGCTTGGGGGCCAAAGCACAGGGTCGTCCAACGTGCAGCTTCCTGGGAGCTGAGGGTTAGGGGCCTCGCTCAAGGGCCCTCGGACATGTGACTGTTCCGCTGACGCCGGGGCTCGATCTGGCTCTCTCTCTATCACAGGCACAGAGACTTAGCCCGCTGAGCCTCTCCCCAGACACTGCCCCCCCCCCCCATTATTAAGGGTTGGGGCAGAGGGCAGCATTGTCACCCCCAGGGTTGGCGGCTGGAGTCCCGCCATGCGTTGCGTACGTCCCTGCGAAGTGCAGGCAGCCCGAAGGCAAAGTCAGTCAAAACTCTGTCTCTTTATTGCCCTTGATATATGAGCGATGCCCTGAAACAGACTGGCATCTCGGCCAGGGGGCTAACTGGGCCCATTCTGTCTGGGACAGACTGCAGCCCCCACTGAACTGGGTTAGCGGTTAGAAGATGAGCAGGTGGTCATCATTACAGACCTGACAATGAAACAGTCTCATCCTTACAAATTGGTACATTCCAATGTAATCCATCCATTCGGAATTTACAGTTCTTCCATTTAAATGTAATTACCTGTAAAGTTTATTTATGCTGATGCTGTTCAGGCCTTCTCCTCTGAGAGGAGAGTGGGGGGGGGGGGGATTCCAAGAAATCATTAAAAATATTGTGTTGCTGTGGAGAAGAGGTGAAGGTGCCTTTCCCATTTTTTTTGACCTGCACTTTTAAATGTTCAAAGATTAGGCAGACCATAAGCACTACCACGGTAATCAATGGAAAGTTCAGTGACGGGAGAGAATGACCTGCGGATATCGTGGATGTATATGCTGACTCTCCACTTACACCGGGAGCCGGTCCAGATACTATCTGCTTACGGCATAACTTCAAACAGAAATATCTCAGCGCATGTTTACAGGAATGTTTTTTTTTTCTTCCAACAGAGAAATCAGCAACAGCTTATCTTTTTTTCATGGCCTTTTCTGCAGCGCAAGGAAGTCACCATTGTATCGCTAATGGAATAACACAAAAGATCTCAAGTCAGTTTGAAACTCTTAACAGGCGGGAATGAGCAGGGGCTCCTGCAGGACTCAGAACGCCAAAAGTGCCGCCCAGACCTCGCAGCCCAGAGAGAGGCCCAAGTCAAGGTCACGTCAGTAGCTAACTGTAACTGAGCGCTCCATTCAGCAGGAATGCAATTAGCACTCTTCCACTATGGGCAAAGGCTTAAGTCACCCACTGTTCTGTCGCTGACCGCTATGTCAGTGCCTCCTGGGGACCTATCAGGTACCTGCGCTTCCTGTGTGGGTGAGACAGAAGGACACGCACCCGGTCACTGAGTAATCCTACTTGGCAAAGAGAGAGCTAATAGCCCAGGACAATGAAAAATCGCAGACGAAACTGGCACTGACATTCGGGAGGCGGGCATGTAAGCGGTTTTGAGATTCTCAGCTAACGCTAAAGGATGAGATTGTAGCCCATTAGCGTGCGTAACACAGACTTGTGGGTAACACATGTTTTCAGACGCGTCCACTTGACACGGCCCGGCACTGTGTTCTATAGGAATGACAAGAGCAGGGAAGCCATTGATTAGTACGTCCTGTTATTCTTTTTCCGCCTTCGCTCCCAAAAGACAAGTTTATTCTTCAATTACATAACGTCTGGTTTCCCGTAGCAACCAGACAGCCCTGGACGTGACCATTCCGGTCCAAGCACATAAAGACCCCCGCTGCTTCCTTTCTTTCCTGCTTGCCCCCTCCCTGAGTGGAGCCGTGGGGCTGCAGTAAGGGAAGCCCCGGAGAGGGGGTGTGGGGCTAAGAGAGCCCAGTGTCGCCGCGGGAGACGAGGCTCCTCCCACTGACTCACGGGGGGAAGGCAGCACCTGGGTTGGAAAACAAGAGCGGCTGTGCTGCCGCTCGCTTTGGCAAATTTGTCCAGGAATTATTACGAGAGGGAGGAAAGGCCGAAGAATAAGAGAGGCACGACCTGAAAGCCTGACCGCATTCCTCCTTCTCCACAGTCTGGGCACCTATGATCTTGACGCATCAAACTGTCAGACATCACCTCGCACTCACCAGACGCTGACATGCAGTGCACGATGCGAGTTCTTCAAATTCTGCAAATGGCACCTGATTGCGGAAATAGCCTGTAGCAGCTTACTGCCAGACATTTTAAATGCTTATGATCTAATTAAGGTGTCCTTGGTTTCTCATTACCTACCGGATCACTTATTTAACATACTATATGTGTTACTCTAAATGTTCCCAGAATACACACACACACACACACAAATTTGTATTCATATTTTTGTGGGGACCATCCATTCATTCTATGGGCATATCCCTAATCCCAGCAATGACAACCTTAACCCCTACCCAGCCCCAACCTTAAGCAAAAGTAACTAATCAAAAAAAAAAGTAGTCCCCACAACACCTAATTAACAGGAGACACTTGGTCCTCACACAGTAATCTGTACATGACCACACACATGCAGATCCTCCAACTCACTCAGCCGCTTGTTTAAGAATCGTGCTCCCCTCCATTGACCAGCTAAATCGACTTAGTGTGGTGCGCTTGCATTTTTTTTTTGGGGGGGGGGGGGGAATGGGCACTGCAATGCAGAAGGAAGCTTTTCAGTGCATCGCACTGCTGGCCACGCAGCCCTGAAAGGCAGGCCACCCAGAAGCCCAGAACACTGAGCACTCCCAGCATGCCCCTCTGCCGCTCCTCCGCACCAGCGAGCTCCACTGTCTTCGCTTCAACCTGACTTTGGCCTAAACTTTAGATATCTGTCCTCTTTTTAACTAGCATTAAAAATGTAGAAGGAGAGTTTGCCGTTGACTGAAAATGTTAAGGCTTTGTGTTTCTAGTCATCTAAGCCGTCTGTCTTTGTCTTAAATATAAAATGACAAAACCAACAATATGTTTGGAGAAAAGCCCTTGATATATGAGCGATGCCCTGAAACAGACTGGAACCCCGGCCAGGGGGCTAACTGGGCCCATTCTGTCTGGGACAGACTGCAGCCCCCTCTGAAAATGGTCTTCAAGTCCAGTGTTTCTCAACCTGGTCCTCAGGGACCCCAGACAGTCCATGTTTTTGCTCCCTCCCAGCTCACAGAACACTAGCCACACAATCATGAACAGCAAATACCTGGTACAGGTGGGCTGGGAGCTGGGAGGGAACAAAAACAGGGACTGTCTGGGGTCCCTGAGGACCGGGTTGAGCAACACTGTTCTAGTCTACGATATATAATTATAAATGTGAATTGTATTGCATGCATTTAATACTCTTTATTGCAGTTATCGTTTTCCATATAGTAAAACCCAGAAAAAAACTGTAACACTGCATGCATACTATAGTTAACATTCTAATTCTAAGCGTTTCACTTCCAGTGATTTGAACTAACACTGTTACACAACTTCTACAGACTTACAGACCAATCAGGAAGAGCAGAGTGAGTCTACAGGAGGTGAGGCATAAAGAGGCATTACAGCCCCTGAGCATTCGGATCCACATCTCCCTACGGAAATAATGAGGGGCTAAAGCACTCAGCTGGGAATATTGACGTGCGATTCCATTTCCTTCTGGCCCTGAGGGGTCAGAAACACAGCAGGCTGGTGTGAGCCGGCGGAGAGACGCGCTAAGGGCCCTACCTGTGCCTGGTAGAGTCCGCTGTGGTCCCGAGGTCCGATACCTACAAAAGACCGGCTGGTTGGGGGCGTCCCAGGGGCAGAGTATGCTAGGAATGAGAGGAGAGGGAGAGAGAGAGAGAGACAGAGAGAGAGAGAGAGAGAGGTGAGAAACTGAAAGCCCAGCAAATTCCAAGCATATAGTCAATATAATATCCCTGAAAAAAACTCTGTTGATTAATAAATAAAAGTGCATGAATCATTTTCAAGGATAGTGCAGAATCCTCAATAATTTCCTACGATATTCAGGGCAAGTAGGTCCCTCTAGCAGTGTGGGTCCATTTCAAGAGGCACGGAGAAATTCAAACTGTTTTCTCATTGGTCAGCACTTCCATGTGACTCAGCTGAAATATGTCCCGCATATATTAAAAGTAGTTCCCGCAAAGTGCCTGTTTGACTTTCAGGCTCTGAGGAGGAACAGCAGCAGCCAGCAGTGAGTGTGCATTACCTCACTCAGCACGGTGAATATAGATCTTCTGAGAGAGTAAATCATATCGATCACAACTGGTAGACAGACAGGGAGGGGGCAAACGGGAGGGGAAGAGCTGGGGGTGTCACTGGAGTGGAATGGGGCACAATGTAAATAACGCAGTAAATCTGTCTGAATATTTCTAACTGGAAGAGCCAGCCACATTATTAATGGGGGGCTGTTTCTCGTGGGGGGCTGTTTCTCGTGGGGGGCTGTTTCTCGTGGGGGGCTGTTTCTCGGTGTATCTTCCCTGGGACTCAGCATATGGGCTGATTAGCAGATTCTTCACATTTGACTTCAGATATTCAGCATGTGCACAGAAGCCTCCTATGAGCGGCTCCGCACAGCAACGGCCAACGGGGCCATTTTCAGTTTGCTGCCGGCAAAACGCAGGCATCCAGAGTTTATGTTCACTCATTTATTCATTTTCCTATTTTCGTTTCAGACACTTCTTTAAAGAGAACTTAGCTTTCCAAAATCCCATTTTTTATATATTTGTATTCACTCAAAATCCAGTTGCATTTACCCTAATTCTGGAACATAAATACTGCAAGCTCATTTCGCAGGCTGTTTTTCGAGATTATTATAAAGTCTTGGACCGAAATATAAGCAATTAAACTGTGAGTTACAGGCCGACACAATGCACCATATATTAAGCTCAGGAGTAGAAATGAACAGATTTGGTTTGGTGTTAAATGAGAGTATTTTTCACTGGACTGAGATTGCGCCGGTGGTTTCACAGAGCACTGCACTCCATAGCCAGCCGAGTGCTCACTGGAAGCTTAAAGAAGCTAAAACAAAAGCTCCAGTCAACCAAATGCAGGGCAGCTGAAAGGGCCTTCTTAAACGCAACAGCTACTGTACCGCGACCAACCGTCTCACTGGAAAAAAACAAACCCCCCAACTAAGCTCAAACATAGCTCACCTGCCCTGCCAGTTGTGGCAGCCCCCTAAGCATGCTAGGAAATGGATTCATTATCACACTCCTTAACAGGCTGCTCGTGGTTGCCCTACTGCGAAAACTGGCAAAGATCCTGCATGATGGGTTTCACATGGCCGTCAGTAATCAGTGGTTATAAGTAAGAAACTGAATTTCCGCCATTTCCTTCCATCTTGGACGTGGATTTCTGTGTAATTGTAGGTGCAGACTAGACCATAAATATTCCAGGGATCTCAAAGCATTTGTGATCAGACTTTATCTTCTAATGAAATCTAAATAAATCTATCCGTCTTCTAACGACTTCTCTAGTACTGGGTGGCGGGGGGGGGGGATAGGGCACAAAGCATGGAAACACCCTAGACCAGTGATTCCCAACCCGGTCCTTGGAGGCCTCCAGACGGTCCACATTTTTGCTCCCTTCCAGATAGTCCACGTTTTTGCTCCCTCCCAGCTGCCTGCCAGACGGTCCATGTTTTTGCTTCCTCCTGGGGGTCCTCAGGAGCTGGTTTATAAAACTCTGCCATGTATGATATGGGATGCCAGTCCGTGACAGTTCAACGGTTCATTGCCCGTCTTTGGACTGAAGAGACCCACACAGCACAGGAAGAACAAGCAAACTGTTCTCGCAGAGCGGGACAAATCTAAATTTTTTATAAATAAAAGTATCGCAGATCTTAATTATATCCCATAAATATCAGGAGAGGAAGATAACATACTTTGGGTACATTTCATTTCTTGCAAACATTCAAGCCACGATGTAACTATTCAGCTACCGCATGCATCCATTCCTTTGAGACACGAGCAGCACGGCACGTCCCCGCCGGCCGCTGTGGACCAGTGCGGAGGCACAGCACACTTACTGGGTGACGTGGGAGAGCTGGCCTCTCCCTCTGTGGTGGTGCTGGACTTGGAGTCGGCCGGCAGTGTGAGGCGGGGCATGCTGGGCGGGGGCGGGGGCGGGGGGGCCAGCATCTGAGAGGAGATGGCGTAGTGGCTAGGCACCTTCACCTGCCCGCTGCCGTTGAGCTGCACAGAGATAGAGAAGCAGACCCATGATGCATCTGGCCACCAGAGGGCAGGCCGACACAGGCTCCTGACTCCATCCACTTCCCAGGCTGTCATTTCTCAGCTTTTTTTTAAAGGAGGGCAACCTTACTGTCCTGCACAACAATGGATGGCACATGAATCAGCCACACTGCGGTGTACTGCGTGCGTCCTTTGGTGCTGCCCCCCCCCGTAGTCGCACTGCGGTGTGAGAATTTCAATGACTCTGCAGAATTGGCCGTGCGTGTTTGCTTTGGGGAGAGCCTGATAGATCCATCTTATCTCCATCCCGCCCCCCCCCCCCCCCCCCCCCCAAAAAAAAACAAAAAAAAAAAAAAAAAACGAAGCATCTGAATCCCTAGAAACCGTACGGTTCATCGCGCGAGTCGTCACTTCGGGGTACAAGTGCAGCGCGGCGAGAGAAACGTGGAGGAGGCGGAACAGGTTTTTAGATGTTCATCCAGCAACGAGGCCTCCTGACTGACTGCTGAAGCGCAATGTAGCACAGCGTCACGAAATTATCCAGCTGCTCTGCCGAAATACCGAAACAACAGAGAAAAAGAGCTAAAGAGCCTTTGCAAGTGTATCACAGCAAATCCCCCGTTTTTAAGAAACGGAAACTTTTGATCATGCTAACCTTCCTGAAATGAATCAGTGTTTCTATGTTGTACCCCTGGTTTTAAAGGTAGGGGCAGTCATGGGCAGAGTTTTAGCACAAACTGATCTCAGACCTGCTCTGTCTGCTATTCTCTACACGTCTGTGCTGCCCTGAATCAGACACATTACAAGCCTGGGGCATGCATGGCTAATGAATCTGAGCAGACTCCGAATGATTTGTTTAGCTCAGATGTTTTAGCAGCAATGCTCTCAGTCTGAAATGTCCATATATCATCACAGACATAGTCCAGGGCTGCATTTCCCAAAACCTTAGGTGTCTATGATCAGCATCATAAAGAAACTTCAGAAAGAAACAATTCAATATTGGTGCTTTTCCACTGCCACCAAGAGACAACTCATACCCGAGCCAGACTGCAAAGAGAGACTAGTGTGATTCCAGTGCGGTTCCAGCTCACTTCGGTTTTCCACTGCAGAAGGGTCGGCTCCGTAAAGGCGTCGCTGGGTTTGGAGAGTAAGAGTGATGTAAAACTGAAGAGACGCTTATTTACTGTTCACACGGTGCAAAACATGATTTACTATGGGCTAATTTCTAGGGGCGCAACGATATACTCAGCCCACGAGACGAGACGAGACACGACACTGGGTTCACGAGAACGAGACGATATTTTAACAATATTTTAAGGGAAACTTCAAAGAGGAAATATATTACTGGAAAGCAGCCTTTTATTTGATTAATTTGAAAGATAAAAAAATGCTAAATAATGCAGATGTATGGCGAAATGTTTTGAATAATCACCATCATCATATGCAGTAAAGAACAGAACAAATATCTAGCACCATAAAATATTTCACCACAAACTCAAATGACAGTCTTCTCTCGTATTTGACTACTCAATTGAACATAAAATGGAATATAAATAAAACAATATAAATAACAATAAAACGTTCACTGCAATAAATAAAACATTTTTTTATGTTTTCTTCACTGGTGCAGTGGATTTAAGTAAAGAGTTATGATGGTCCTGCAGATGGCTTTGCATATTAGTAGCGTTAGCCGCTGTGTACGGCATTATTTTACTACTATGCTTACAGATGGTTCGTGTTTTGTCTGTCACCCTTTCGCCGTTTATATTTTCCGCCGGGTTCCCAAAATGCCGCCACACAAAAGATTTAAAACTGTCTACTATGATAATTTTGTCTGACGCTGACATGCTTACATCAGCTGATTTGCAGCGCCTTCGAGAGACCGCTATTCACTCCGACGAGAAATCTCGTCATGTTATAATATCGCGAGATCTCGTTGCACCCCTACTAATTTCTGCTAACACGTCTATGAGAACTGTCATGTTATGTTAGCGGAATTAGCATTAGCTTGCGTAAATTTGCATTACATTCCGTTCAACTGTACTTTTTAAGCAGGAGGTTGGAAATTTACAAATTCCTAATCACTGGGAATGCACCCGTACATCACTATGTGCAATATAACTAAAAATGAATAATATATAGAAAAGGTTTCTTCAGATAATCTGTGCATATCTACGCCAGTTTCTGGTATCTCTGTGCATTCCAACCAATCAGATGGTGGTGACGGAACCAGCTTGGTTTGGTCGCGCTTTCGACCCTGATAAGCAGGGCCAAGACAGCATGGGTACAGCTTACATAATGAACTTTTATACCAATGAGTGTCACTGAAAACTGATCCTAGACCTGTGCCTTGCTGCCGTGCCGTTTGCCTGGGACCTGCCTCACTTCACAGATACATATGTGATTCTCGCCACGCACTCTGCTTCCACTCACAGCATACTCACTGTTATGGATACCTAATGACATTCACACACTCAAGCGCTCTTGCAAAGTGCCTGTAAAACAGAAGGCGAATGTACGCAGTGACTGTGCCTACCTAATTGGACCAAATTAACAATATGGAGTATTATAGCTGACTCTGGGGAGTTTTCCAGAACACACAGAGAAGTCAGATTGCAGGGATACAGTGATCAGTGCACATCCCAACTCACAGTGGAGCCACAAACTCACAGAACGCCCAGACACACTTACAGTATTAACAGCTGTCAACACAAAAGCCCCCTAACGGGACCCGGGAAACACACTTAAACAGCATATGATAAAAAAAAATGTAATCAACATGTACCTGTGTGGTCAAAAAATGGTAAAATGGTAAAAAGCACCATGGGGGGGGGGGGGTCACACGGCTCTCTCACCGGGCCGGGTGCCTGGCTGGAGGGGTCACAGGCCAGCGAGACCAGGTCCTTCAGGGGGTCCTGGGAGCTGAGGTGCGGCGGGTACCGGATGGCCGTGTGTTGGAAGTAGGTCGACTGGGGCAGAATGGAGGTGGTAGGAAAGTGCAAAGAAGAGGAGGGGTGTGGACTCCGGGAAAGACCTGCACCAAGGAGAAAGCGGCACCGGGTTCAAGGGAAGCATGCATTTGCTGCTGCTGTGAAGTTTAAGTCGGAGCAGAATAAAAGGGGAAAACTGTCATTTTAACAATACTAATACTGGAAAACAATGGATTATTACGTTCATCATAAAAACAAACTTGGTAAATCCATTGTACAAAAAATGTGTTAATTTTATTGTTCCATCTTATTCAGTAGGTTCTCCTGGTGTAGGATCAAACACATCCAGCTCTGTTTAACATTTGGAAAGCCAGAGTTAACTTCATCACCTGCACAGCCAGTTATCTAGCGAAACAAAGCAGCTCTCCAGAATGCTACCCCTTATGATACAAACAGAGACTTTGTCCCCAGAGAATTTTGTCCCAAGAATGAGGCAACCGAGCCTCACATGAGAGACTCTGAAATGATTAATAGGCACAAAGCCACTGAAGTCAAAGTGGGAATCATCTCACTATTGCAATGCACCCAGTGATAATCAGAGACCTCCAACTCGCACGTTCATCTCCAAAACACCTATTTCCCTTCACAGAAAATGCAGTTTGGGTGCCTGTTACGATGCTGAAACATTTCTAACATGTTGTTATAACAACTGGGCACCTGTTATAATGCTGAAACACCTCTAACATGTTGTTATGACAACTGGGCACCTGTTACAATGCTGAAACACCTCTAACACATTGTCATAACTACTGGCTTCCTGATTCTATGCTGAAGTACCTCTAACATGTCATTATTACAACTGGGCACCTGTTACAATGCTGAAACATCTCTAACAAGTTCTTGCAACAGTTGCTAGTACGGTAACCTGAAGCTGGCAGGAAGGACAGCAGCAGGTGAATAATTCAGGCTTAGTCTTAACTATTAAGTTAACTAGTACTGTTAACATCCTTCTGCATGGCTGCAAACTTGTGCCCGAGTGCAGTGTTACTTTTCCTTTGAGAGTGTGTGTTGTGTTTTTATTGCAGTGAGCGCACACAGTACAGCATGAGTGCAGTGTTACTTTTCCTCTGAGAGTGTGTGTGTTGTGTTTTTATTGCAGTGAGCGCACACAGTACAGCATGAGTGCAGTGTTACTTTTCCTCTGAGAGTGTGTGTGTTGTGTT